GTCATAAAGAGTCAGACGTGATTGCACAACAATTCTGAAGGCCTTCCATAAAGCCATTTGCTCATGAAGATTTCACAGTGAGGTAACAGTCAGCATTGGCAAAGGAATGGATTTATTTTGAAATCAGAATGTACAAGTTTGCATGGTAGTTGTAGGTGGTCTCATGTTAAATTGACCTTCAGCAATGTATTGTTAACTATGAAATGCTGAGATAGTTTCCCTTGAGTCCACTAGGTGGTACCATTGCAGCACCGTATTCACAGTTCTTCATAAAGGAAAAAATTGCCAATTTCCAGGGAGGACTTACTTAGCAGATTTCTGCTTTAGTCTGACATACAGAATTTGGCCTGGGAGGAAGTCTAAACTAAGTTAGATTTTGCTACCTCTTCCTAAATCTAAAAATGAAAATGATAAGAAGTCTTTCTGGCCTTCTTAGACTATTAGAAATCGAGATTTATGTCTTCAGTAGAATGATACTCATTGCTTAGATCTAACGACTTCTATCCTCTATAGGATAAAATAACCCTGAATCTTGTAGCGTCTGCAAATAAGTGGAGTTTCTATTTTTTTTCTGTCCATATTAATTGCTCTGCTAACCTATTGAATTTTATTATAGGATAATTTATATTTAATAATCTAGTCACTTGCTAAGCAAAAAGAATATTTTGAAAAACTTCATCTGAAAAAGACAATATGATTAATCAATACCCCACCTTTCCTTAGTTTGTTGCAGTATCAGGTTCTGAAAGTTTAGTCCAAGTTGGAACTTGAGCCTTTAAAAAGCCAACCTGTATAGTGACAGAGAAAAAGAATGAATGGCACATCCTGCCTGTAGCTCCTAGAAACTTATATTAAGATGCTTGACTGACTCAGCTTTCATTTTAGATTTGAATTTTTTGTAACAATGTTGTTAGTTTTATTTATTGTGATGGCCCTTTAAATGAACTACTCACTAGGGGATAGATTTGTAGGTTGTATGAAAGCCTCCTGATACCTACTTATTCTCTTGACTTTGTATATGAATAAATTAACATTTGACATTCCAAGCAAAGACCCGAGTAAGGACCCTTCTTTGATATAAGTTACTTTAAATTTCAAGAGTAGATTTCCTGTCCTTCCGGGTTTAATAGTGGTCCAACCCAGCCACTGTTATTTGGGGAAAAAGTAAATATTGTTAGAACATGACAAATTAGACAGTAATAAAACAATACAGCTCAGTGAATTGTATATGAGGAATTTTTGATGAAACCTCATCAAGACCTAAGACTTTTTCTATTTCAACTTTATCGATCGTCTTTAACTACTTGATGAGGAGCATGTGTCTTTAAGAATCCAACTGTGCTCTGCCAAAACTTCACTGTTTCTTTTGAGGGTCCCCAGGCTCACAACCTTAGCATTATCTTTGGTTCCTCACTATCCCTCACACCATAAATCCAATAAGTAATTTGCCTAATCTTGTTCTATCTTCATAATATCTTTTTTCTCTACTCATATAGCCATCACCCTAGTTTAGTATCACCAGAACTGTTGCAATAACCTTCCAATTGGCCTCCAAGACTCAGGACTCTCCTTGTGTGAATCCATCCTCTACACAGATACTTAAGTTATATTTTATTAAAAAATAGTAAAAGTGTCTACAGTGTGCCAGGCACTGCGCTAACTGCTTTACAAATATTATCTCATTTGATAAAGCATAGGTCTGCCTGTCACTTTCTTGCTTAATAAATTCCTCCCTTTTGCCTCTCGGATCAAATGTTAGTGCCTATGTCTGTCATTTAAAGCCCTTAACAACTTGGCCCTAATCTACCTTTTCAAATAATATATTACTTTCTTTCTCTTACTCTATGGTATAGCTGAACTGGCTTCCTTATTATTGGCTTACACAATACCCCCATCATGTAACTCCCTGCCTTTGTACTGGTTGTCCCACATGCCTAGAATGCATTCCCATCTTATTTCCACTTCTCAGAGTCCTTTCCTTCAAAATCCTGCTTAAGCAATACCTTCTATATGAAGCCTTTCCTATTTCCCTCAACCTCCAGCTCCCAGTGCCCTCCCCTCAAGAAATTTACCTTGTGTTTATTTTGCATACATTTATTTATATACATGCTGTCTCCCAACAGAATCTAAATCCTGTGAGGCCAGAGGGCTATTTGATTTCTGTCTTTGTATACCTAGCTCCTATCACAATGGATGATACCTGGTAGGCACTTTATAAATGCTTGTCAGTTGACTGATTGATTGCGTACAGAGCTCGTTAAGGACAGCATATTTTATCTAGGATCTACAGGCTAGCTATCATTGCAGCAAACCACTGTTGCATATTGACTTTGATTATTTTTTTTTTCTCAGGGATTTCCCTTCATTTCAGTAGGATTACATTCTTGCCCTCCCAAGCTCCCTAAAGAGCTGCTTCTTGTTTTTTAGGTGAATAGTCAGCTCTTGGTTACATATATATAATTACCTGCTCCATATTTTTTTTTCGTCTATTCAGGCTTCCAGTGTGTTTTTGAGCCACATCTCCACACTACTGATTATGTATACAAAGGACATATACTGATTTTACCATTAGTCTAAGGGGAAAACATTAGGAAGTTAAATTTCCAGAAAAATTCCAGTGCATTTTAAAGCCAAATATAATTTATTTTTGGATTGACCATGCCTTTGTTCCCCCTCCATTAAATTAACATCGACAATTGAGAGTATAAACCATTTGAATTCTATGTGGAAATTTCATTTATACCTCTGAAATGAAAGTTATACATTAATTCAGACAAAGTAGATGGACTAATGCCAGTGTCTTAACTGTATGCTAATGAAATTTTCTGTTTTGACATATACTGGTAGGTGGAGGAGGCTCCCAGAATACTGTTTTTATGTTGGGACTTAGACATAGCAACTACCCCTACTAATCCAGTGCCCTCATCAAAGAAGACATTTTGTGCTCTGTGAGCAAAGCAGAATTGTAGTAGCTCTAAAGAAAGGGGAGATGTGCAAATTGGGAGACATCTCTATTCCAAATGGACTGTTTGTGCCTGACCTATGGCCGAGCCTTCCAAGCTTGTATTGGCCTGATCACCCACAGTCAGACACACTGTAAGTTGATCCTGACATATAATGCCATTCAAGGGACAACAATAAATCCAGCGGTTCTAGGTACCTTTCTAGAGCAGTGGTGTCAAACTCAAATAGAAATAGGGACCACTAATCTGTATATAAGGATTCCTGCAGACCACATATTGACTTAGTTTTAAAATATAATATTATCTATGTTTTATTATAATTGTATTTATTTTGTTAAATATTTCCCAGTTACCTTTTGGTCTGATTGGAGTTTCACTTGGGGATGTTGTGGCCTGTGGGCTGTATACTTGACACTTTTGTTCTGGAGGGTGTGGAGTCTCAAAGGAAGGTTATCCAGAATATCAGCTGATCATATTTAACAGTAGAGTAGAACATGAGATATAGATATGGACTGTAAAATGTACATGCACAAATAACATTAGCGTTCTTGTCACTTTAAGGCTTTATAACCAGAAATTGAAGATTATCCTATTCCAGTTTGACCTGACCACCATCAAGGAGAGATAAAGGAGGAGAAGATTATTACCAGCACCACTCTTCTTTTATTTTTAATTAATTAATTTTAAGTATTCTTTGTTATTAGATTTTGAGTTCCAAATTCTGTTCCTCTCCTCCCTCACCCATTTTTTTTTTCAATTTTGTGAGGAAGCCCAATATATGCAATGCTTCTGTGAGAGATGATTGCTGGTCCTACTGGCTCAAATTCAGTTTGCTTGTGATTAGAGCATTATTTGGGAAAAGAATATCAAGAATGAAGAGCTAATATAGCTAATTAATCTTTCAAAGATTCCTGCAATGGGTTTTCTTTGAATTATTTTCTTGATTCACATTGTTACGGACATTAAGCTCAAAATGGAGGGGAAATGGCCCAAGTTTTCTGACTCAGGTCATCATTATAATTGTTAGAGCTATAATGACAAGCAGCTTCTGCTTATTGAAGTGGGTTTTTTGTTTGTTTTTGTTTTTTGGGTTTTTTTGTTTTTTGATGTGTGGCTAAATAATAATAGGCTGTTAAAAATTTGGAAGGAAACCTGGCAGGGAAAAGTCTTTATTCCGACCTTGATTTCCAAAAAGGGAAGTTGTTGAGAGACAGGCAAAATGAGCTAAATCTGTATCTTCCTTTTGATCTGAAGCAGCAAGGAACCCTTAGGGACAGCCAGGATACAGCGTGTACCAGACAGACAACCACTACCTCCTCTCAGGGCAGACAGGCTAGCCTTGCTGAAGCCACAAGGTACCTGCAGGGAGGAATCAAGCCAACCTGGCCACCTCCTCCTGCCAGGCAGGCCCCAGGGGAGAGAGCCCATAACTCCAGTCATCAAAGCACTGTAGAATAGCAGTGTCTCTCAAACCACCAGCCCAGCTTCCAGCTCAGCCTTTGCAGTTGTCATAGGAGCAGCCCTTGTGGAGATATGGCTTGGCTGGAACAGCTGCAGCTGCTGAGGACTAGAAAAGTCTTCACCACCAAATGGCTCGGTATCAGAAAATGCACAAAATGATTTTACCAGTAGAGATCCTAAGTACCACAGAGCTCTTCTGTCTGACTTGCAGTTGAAATCTCCTATCTGTGCCAATTCTCTCCACCCTCTCACCCCACCGTGGCTGAGAAGGTGAACTCCTTGAGAGCAAGGACCAGCTAGCCTTTCTGTTTCAATCCCAGAATGTAGCACAATGCATTGCCAATGGCAAGTGCTCAGTAAATGCTTTTTTGTTCATTCATTCATTCCTTTGAAGACAACAATGCTTCACTTGATAGAGGTCAACACTGTCTATTGGGGAAGTATTTATTGGGTGAAAGTATAGTTATTCTTTGCAGTCATACTCTCCATGTGTCTTGCAGAATCATTGATATGTCTTAGGTGGTTGTTTTCAAGTAGTAAATGGACCCTTTCTGTGTGGTTCCCCTCTCTTTGCAGTTTTGGAGAATTCTGCCTGGTTCACCTGTTATTGAAGAGGAACCCTGGAATGTTCTTCCAGCATTTCATTGAGTGCATTTTCCACTTCAATAGTTATGAGAAGCATGAGAAATACAACAAATTCCCCCAGTCAGAGAGGTCAGTAAATCCAGAGTTACTTCTTTCTCAAATTATAGGATTTGGAGTATATGTTCAGCTGTTTTCTACAAAGTAATTAATTAGACTTAAAGCCAGGCCTTTTTTTTTTTAACATTTAAATTTACTTGAGGTGGTAGGAGGTGTAAGAATATACTTTGACACCATATTTCTAAAGGAAATGCCTGTAATGGTATCCCAATCAGTGTATTTGTGCATTAAGCTAATAGGGTTTAAGTTGGACTTAAAATATCATTGTAAAGATCTGTTTTTATGTGCACATATTGAAGTTCTGTTTTTGTCATAGAGAAAAGCAGCTCTTTTCATTGAAGGGAAAGAATAACAAAGAAAAACGCATGTGGATCTACAAGTTTCTACTAGAGCACTTCACAGATGAGCAGAGATTCAACATCACTTCAAAAATCAACCTGAATATTTTGGGTATGCCTGGCATTTTTGGAACAGAATGCATATTTAAAAATGAAAAGCTGTATGGATAGTGGACTCAGCAGGTGTGTAGCAAATATGAGCTTCCTGCTGCAAGAAGACCCTTGCTTTTTTGTTTTTCTTCCTAGCATCCACTATTTCCCATTTCACTCCTCCTGGCCTTCCCAGATGGGCCCTCCTAGGGCTATAGCATTACACTCTTCCTGTGGTTTTAAAGTGTTTCTAGAAATCTGATCTTTTGTGCTCTCTCCCAGCTTGCTTTGTGGATGGCGTTCTGCCCCTGGATATGGAAGCCAATGAACTCCTTTCAGATACATTTGAAGTTCTGAGTTCAAAGGAAATCAAACTGTTGGCAATGAGATCCAAATCAGATAAAGACCTCCAGATAGAAGATGATGAACTGGCCATGGCTAATGTAGTCATGCAGGAAGCACAAAAAAAATTAATTTCACAAGTGAGTATACCATATCTTCTCTTGTAATATATAACCATAGGAATGCACATTGCATGTAATTTAAAACACAGTAAAAACTCTTGGGACTAGTCCTAATTTTTCCACCTGTTAAGTTCTGTCTTGCCAAATTACTTATTCTCTGTGTCCCTTGCCCATCTTATAAAATGGAGCCAAAATTTATCCTATTTCTTGGATACTGAAGGCCCTTTAAAAATTGATGATATATATGCAAGGACATGAAATGACTTCAGAGGACAACTTAACAAGAATCATAGAGAACTGGAGCTATGTAGGACCTTAGAGATCTTCATATTCAACCTCCTCATTTTATAGTAGAGGCTCAAGAAGTTAGGTGACTTGCCAAGAGTCATGTACAGGCCTACCTCAGAGATGTTGTGGATTTGGTTCCAGACCACCACAGTAAAGTGGGTCACATGGATTTTTTTAGCTTCCCAGTGGATATAAAAGTTGTGTTAACACTATACTGTTGTCTGTTAAGCGTGCAATAGTATTATGTCTAAAAACATAACATACATACCTTAATTAAAAAATACTTTATTGCTAAAAAATGCTAACCATCATCTGAGCCTTCAGCAAGTTATCATCTTTTTTGCTGGTGAAGGGTCTAGCCTCGTTGTTGATGGCTGCTGACTGATCAGGGTAGTGTTTGCTGAAAGTTGCGGTGGCTGTGTCAATTTCTTAAAATAATACAGCAATGAAGTTTGCCACATCAGTCAACTCCTCCTTTTAAGAAATATTTCTTTGTAGCATGTGATGCTGTTTGATAGAATTTTACCCACAGTAGAATTTCTTTCAGAATTGGAATCAGTCCTCTCAAACCTTGCTGCTGCTTTATCAACTAAGTTTATGTGATATTATTCAATATTGTTGTGTCTCAGGGATTAGGGCAGTTCAAGGACGGGGAGAGAGATGGAGAAACAGCGAGTTCATGGAGCAGTCAGAACACACACAACATTTACTGATTAAGTTCACCATCTTATATGAGCATGGTTTGTGGCATCCCATAATAATTACAGTGGTAACATCAAAGATCACTGATCACAGATCACCATAACAGATATAATAATAATGAAAAGTTTTGAAATATTGTAAGAATTGCAAGCAAATTTGCAAGAATTGCAAAAAATTACCATTGCCAAGATGTGATGCAGAGACATGATGTGAGCACATGCTGTCTGAAAAATGGCACTGATAGACTTACTCAAAGCAGGGTTGCCACAAACCTTCAGTCTGTCAAAAAAACACAGTATCTGTGAAGCACAATAAAGTGCAGTGCAGTAAAGTGAAGAGTGCCTGTAATAAGTTAGTGACAGATTTGGGATTAGATGATTCAGGTCTCTAGACTTCTAGTTCAATGCTCCTCTTACCATATCATCCTGATTCAGAAACATCTTTAGATTAAAGAGGAGAAATCATGTTTGTGTTGAATGCTTTCCCACTATAACTATATTGAATTCTAAGAACTTACATGTAAAAAAAATTTGAGGTTAGTAACCAATCTGAGTTATACACTATCAAGAAATATTAAATTGCGTATTTATGAAGTGTTTATAGTAAACCCAGCACTCTGCTAGGTTCTTTGGAAAATACAAAGAACTTTAAAACTGTAGAGCCTAACCATTGAGGGTTTATATTTAGGACACTTTTGCCAGTAGCAAAATGAAATGTCTCTTTAGCTACCTGGCATGAAACTTGTTTTAGTTTCATTTCATAGAAAAGAAACTTGATTAAGTGGGCTGTATGTAGAGCCAAGAGCTGAGGCTCAAAGTTTCTTTCTGAAATACTGTAGGACTTTCAGGAAGTCATTTTATCTCTTTCTGATAGTTTCCTTATTTAAAAAATGAGGACAATACCCATCTTATTTCTGCTTCACAACCTTGTCTAAGTTTGTGAGATAAGAAAAAAAATCAACAACATTAAAAACTGGGAAAGGGTTCTGCCATTCAGAAGTTTATAATTTAGGTTATCTAAAACATAATTATTGTATGACTACAGGTTCAGAAGAGGAATTTCATAGAAAATGTTATTCCAATTATCACATCCCTGAAGTCAATGCTGGAACAGAATAAAATCCCAGCCTTGAGGGACCTCATGAACTATCTCAGGGTAAGTAAAAGCATTAGACTTCTTCATTGATGCAAGACTACCAATGTGTTACTTTGGGATCCCCTGGTAATTTTGATGGAGGGGTACACGTGGGTCCTTAATATGTTTCATAGTGTTTGTGAATGAGGCAGACTGTTGTGTTTTGAAAGGGAAATTACCAGACCCAGCCATTTGCTGTTTCAGCTCAGACACTGCTATTGACTTCTTTGAAGTTGAATTTTCTGTCTTCTGTACAATTGATTTTATGGAAAGCTAAATCTCTCACTTTATTGAACATGTCTTAAAGTGCTGGTCCAGGTCAGATTTGAGTTTATCTCAAATGTTGGTATAAAGCACATGAGATTTAACAAAAATCATGTAGTGAAACAAAAGGTCAAGAATATCAAAGGAAATATGAAAAAAAAAAGTGGGAAGGAAGCCTAATAGCACCAGATCTAATACCATGTTCACAAAGCAGGAATTATCGAAACTATTTTGTACTGGTTGAAAAAATAGAAAACCTTATCAGTGGGGTAGATAAGGTACCCATAATCTAGATGCAAAAGAGCATCACAGCTTAGTGTTAAATAAACCCAAAGACTCAGAGTATTGAAATAAGGACTTATAAGTGGAAAAATTGGAAAGCAATCTGGCAGAAATGAAGTTTAGAACAATACTTCCCACCATGTGCAAAGGTAAACTCTAAATGGATACAAGACCTAGATATAAAAAGTCACATCATGGGACGGAGCCAAGATGGTGGAGTAAAAGCAGTGAGCTCTCCCTGAAACCCCTCCGAATACCTGTAAAAATGACTCTAAACAAAGGGGAGAAGGAGGAGAGGAACACAGTGCAGTGTGGGTGCGCAGGCAAAACAGGCCTCAGCGAACTTGGAGGAGCCTTCAGAGGACTGAATCACAGACAGCTGTAGCAGTTTCCAGACTTCTCAACCCAAGAACACCAAAGACAACTTATAAAGTCAGTAGGAAAAGTCCGTGACTCAGTCCCAGCCCTAGTCCCCATGCACGGCCCCAGGGTGGTAACTGCTTCCAGAGCTTCCGGCCCACAGACTGAGGGGGAATCCAGTGGCTGATCAGAGGGTGATTACAGGGATCTTTTTACTGGTGCTGAGGCAGGATTCTCTTGCTTTCCCTGTGCCTGAATCTGGATCGCGGTTCTGGGTGGTGGTCCTGGGGTGAGGAGGAGTGCTGGCATGGTGGAGCTTGTAGTGGTGGAGAGAAAAATCCTCCTCACAGTTCCAAGGCAGAAAACAGTGCTTGTGGTCACTCACAGACCAGAGCACAGACCAGGAAAGGAGTAAATACCTCACCCCTTATCATACCACCTTGGAAGAACTGAAAATTTACAGTTCCCTAGAAGTGTCTCTGAAAACAGCTACACAAAACCCCCGAAGCTTGGGACAATACATTCTCACACTAGAAGCAGACCCCTACTTTAACAAAGAGTTTAAAACTCAGTTGGCTGGGATCATGAGCAAACTGTGCAAAAAAAGTCAGACCATAGAATCTTTCTTTGGTGACAGAGAAGATCAAAACATACAACTAGAAGAAGACAACAAAGTCAAAGATACTACATCCAAAGCCTCCAAGAAAAATATGAATTGGTCCCAGGCCATGGAAGAACTCAAAAAGGATTTTGAGAAGCAAGTAAGAGAAGTAGAGGAAAAACTGGGAAGAGAAATGAGGGTGATACAAGAAAATCATGAAAAATAAGTCAACAACTTGCTAAAGGAGACCCCAAAAAAATACTGAAGAAAATAACACCTTAAAAAATAGCCTAACCCAAATGGCAAAAGAGGTCCAAAAAGCCAAAGAGGAGAATACCTTAAAAAGCAAAGTTGGCCAAATGGAAAAGGAAGTCCAAAAGCTCGCTGAAGAAAATACTTCCTTAAAAATTAGAATGGAGCAATTGGAAGCTAATGACTTTATGAGAAATCGAGACACTATAAAACAAAACCAGAAGAATGAAAAAATAGAATCTCATTGGAAAAACAACTGACCTGGAAAATAGATCCAGGAGGAGAGAAGTTAAAAATTATTGAACTCGGGGCAGCTAGGTGGCACAGTGGATAGAGCACCGACCTTGGATTGAGGAGGACCTGAGTTCAAATCTGACCTCAGACACATAACACTTACTAGCTGTGTGACCCTGGGCAAGTCACTTAATCCCATTGCCTAGCCAAAACAAAAATAAAAAAAGAAATAAATTTTTTAAAAAAATTATTGAACTCTCTGAAAGCCATGATCAAAAAAAGAGCCTAGACATCATCTTTGAAGAAATTATCAAGGAAAACTGTCCTCATTTTTTAGGACCAGAGGGCAAAATAGAAATTGAAAGAATCCACCAATCACTTCCTGAAAGAGATCTCCAAAGGAAAACTCCTAGGAATATTGTAGCCAAATTCCAGAGTTCCCAGGTCAAGGAGAAAATATTACAAGCAGTCAGAAAGAAACAATTCAAGTATTGTGGAAACACAATCAGGATAACATAAGATTTAGCAGCTTCTACATTAAGGAACTGGAGGGCTTAGAATATAGTATTCCAAAGGGCAAAGAAGATAGGATTACAGCCAAGAATGACCTACCCAATAAAACTTGAGTATAATCCTTCAGGGGAAAAAATGGATATTCAGTGAAATAGAGCAACTTCAAGCATTCTTGATGAAAAGACCAGAGCTGAATAGAAAATTTGACTTTCAAATACAAGACTCAAGTGGAACATGAAGAGGTAAACAGGAAAGAGAAATCATAAGAGACTTATTAAGGTTGAACTGCTTATATTCCTTCATGGAAAGATGACATTTGTAACTCATGAGACCTTTGTCAGTATTAGGGTAGTTGGAGGGGGAAAAAATTATATGTGTAGATAGATAGAAGGCACAGGGTGAGTTGAAGATGAAGGGGTGATATCTGGAGAATAAAATTAAGGGGTGAGAGGATTATACTGGGAGAAGGAGAAAGGGAGAGGTAGAATGGGGTAAATTATCTCACATGAAACAGACAAGAAAAGGCTTTTACAGTGGAGGGGAAACAGGGGAAGGTGAGAGGGAATGAGTGAATCTTATTCTCATAGGATTTGGCTTAAGAAGGGAATAAATACACACTTAATTGGGTATGGAAATCTAGCTTACTCTACAGGAAAATGGGGGGGAAGGGAACAAGAGAGCAGGGGGATGATTCGGGGAGGGCAGATTGGAGGAGGGGGTAATCAGAAGCAAACACTTTTAAGGAGGGACAGGGTCAAAAGAGAGAGTAGAATAAATGGGGGGCGGGATAGGATGAAGGAAAATATACTTAGTTTTTCACAACATGACTACTATGGAAGTGTCTTACATGACTATACAGGTATAACCTGTATCTAGTTGCTTGCCTTCTCGATGAGGGTGGGCAGGGAGGGAGGAAGGGAGAAAATTTGGAACCTAAATTGTTAAAAACAAATGTTAAAAATTGTTTTCACATGCAACTGAGGAATAAGATATATAGGCAATGGGGTATAGAAATCTATCCTGCTCTACAGGAAAATAGAAGGGGACAAGGGTAAGAGAAAGAGGGAGAGATAAAAAAGAGGGCAGATTAGGGGATGGGATATTCAGAATGTATGCCATCTTGGAGTGGGGGGAGGGATGAGATGGGGAGAAAATTTGTAACTCAAAATCTTGTGGAAGTGAATGTTGAAAACTAAAAATAAATTAAAAAAAGAAAGAAATGATTTGTTGATTTAATTTAATCAAAAATTTTATAATGGAAATAAAAGGGAAAATGAGAAAAAAATTTTTAAAAAAAATTTTTAAATCACATCATAAAACAAATTATGGAGGATCAAGGAAGAGATTATCTTTCTGATCTGTGGATAAAGGAAGAGTTCATGACCAAAAAGGCATTACAGAAAATAAAAGACAATTTCGGTTATGTAAAATGGGGGGGGGAAATATTATATAAACAAGATTAGTACGCTAAAATTAGAAGGAAAAAAATTAGCACCAAATTTTTCTGCTAAGGGTCTAACATTCAGGATATCAAAGGAACTGGTGAAAACATATAAGAACAAGAGCCATTCCCCAAGAGGTAAATGATCAAAGTATATGAACAGGTATTTTTCAGAGGAGGAAATTCAAGCTATCAAAAGTTACATGAAGAAGTCCTCCAAATTATTATCCAAAAAATGCAAACCAAAACCATTCTGAGCTTCTGCCTGCAACAGATAAGTGTTGAGAATTGAGCTTCCTTGGTCTTTCCTTTCCTCAGAGAATGACAAAGGCCAATATCCAAGTCAGTTGTAAGGGCCAGTCTAAGTGTTCTAGAAACTGTTCTTAAGTAATCAACACTGTTTGCTCATAGACTCCCATTGGGTTGTGATCAGTTAAGATATAGTTGAAAGAGGGGGAGCAAGGGGCCACAATGGATAGAGCACTGGCCCTAGAGTCATGAGGACCTCAGTTTAAATCCAGCCTCAGACACATAACATTCACTAGCTGTGTGACTCTGGGCAAGGCACTTAACCTCAATTGCCTTAGGAAAAAAAACAAAAAACAAGATATAGGGTTTTTTTTTTAAAATTTTATTAATTTATTTTGATTCATCAATAATCACTTCCATATGCTTTTGAGTTTAAAATTTTTCTCCCCCTTCCTCCCCACCACCCTCCCCAAGATGACGCACAATCTGATATAGGCTATACATTTACATTCCTATTAAACATATTTTCACATTAGTGTTGTTGTAAGTAAAAATTAAAACCAATAGGAGGAACCATCAGAAAGAGGAAACATAACTCAACAGAAGAGAAAAAAAATAGCAATTCAACTTCCATAGTTCTTTCTTTGGATGTGGATAGCATTTTCCATCACAAGGCCCCTGGAGGTGTCTTAGATCCTTGTATTGCTGGGAAGGGTTAAGTTTATCAATATTAGTCATCGCACAACGTGGCTGTTATTGTGTACAACGTTCTTTTGGTTCTGCTCATTTCATTCAGCATCAGACCATACAAGTCTTTCCAGGAAAAACAAGATATAGTTGAAACAGTGTTGGATCTGGTTTCAGAGGACCCAGGCTGCCACTTATTATCTGTCTGATCCTAGCCACATTACTTAATATCTTTCAACTTCAGTTTCCGTATATGTAAGATAAAGGAGTTAGACAGGATGGCCTCTGAGGTACCTTCTAGCTTTATGTCTATGATTTTACAATCCTAAATACAAATATCATACATGTTCCTTAGTGACATCTTGTTAATTAACCTATGCGTTTACCTTTCAGCAGAATAAATCTGGCCATTGATGTTATAAGTAGTTGAGACAGCTTATTTACTTCAGTTAAAAAGAAAAATCAAAGAATGTTCTGTGGGTCTATTCCAGGAAGTGATGCAAGATTATCGAGATGAAATCAAAGATTTTTTTGCAGCTGACAAACAGCTGGCTTCAGAACTTGAATATGACATGAAGAAATATGAAGAACAGCTGGCAAAGGAACGAGAACTGGAAGAACAAAGAAACGCAGAAAGAATGGCTGAGATCTCAGGAACCCTAGCACTAGCAGAGGTAAGTAAGGGACTCTGAATAAGGCTGATCCTGCAGAACGTAGCAGGCAACTGAAGAGTGCCCAGGGAGTGTTGTTTCCTAAAGCCTGAATCTAAAGTATGTTGAACTAACATTTCTTGGATATTTTCTGGCTACCATTTGGGTTTCTCTTGACTATTGTGTTTCTACTTACAATAAGAAGGTAAGGTACCTAGACTTCTGAGAATGATCTTCTCTCAAGCTAAAGAGTATCTTGTCCTAGACTCAGTAAGGAGCTGCTGAAGAATCTTGGGGGATGGGAGGGAGAAGAGGAGGTAGAGAATTAACATTACCAGACCTCTATTATTTTAGTAGCTGTGTGGAAGATAGATTTGAGAGGGCAGAGACCGAATGCCAGAAAGCTGCCCGTTAGGTGGCCAGTATAATAATAAGCAAGAGACCATAAAGGCCTGACTTAGCCTCATTTCTCAGTGACTGGAGAGAAGGGGATTGTTTTGAGAGCTGTTGTGGAGGTCAAATTCACAAGACTTAGTAGCTGAGAAAGATGGAAGTGTTGAGAATGTCTCTGAGGATGAGAATCTAGGTGACTGGAAGGACAGTGGTGCCCTCAAGAAAGATAAGGAAGTTTAGGGGTGAGGAGGACAGGGGGTTCTGTTTGGGTATGCTGGGTTTGGGGTGCCTACATAGCAGCTAAGTGGAGATGTCCAGCAGGGGAGTTAGAGCTCAGAGGAAATATTATTGCTGCATATATAGAGCTCAGGGCATCTTCATGTAGATAATTGAATCCATGGGAACTTAGAGAGGGTAAAGATAGGAAAAAGAAGAGGGCCCAAGATGAAGCCTTGCTGGCACTCTCAGAGGCAAAGGAGTCTGAGGAGTGGTCAGACAAGTTAGAGAAGAAGGATGCCTGAATAAAGGTCAGTAACTAAGTGATGAAGAGATCTTTAGAGAGGCAATATGGCATAAGCTATAGATAACTGGGCTTACGAATCAGGAACATCTAAATTCCAATCCTGCCTCTGACATTTAGTAGTTTTGTGACCAGAGATGAGTTATTTAGCTTCTCTGAGCCCCAACTTCTTCATCTCTAAAATGTGAATAATAATAAAAGCAAATATTGTATGCAAAACATCTTGCCAACTCCAAAGTGCTACATAAATACCAACTATTGTTATTGGTAACTTTGGAGAAAGCAGTTTCAATTAAGTGATCTGGTTGGAAGCCAGGTGGAAGGGCTTGAGAAGGGAGTGGGAGGTGAGAAGTTGGAAGAAATAAGTGGATGAATTTTTCTGAGTTTGGCTGTGAAAGGGAAGGGGGGAGAGAGAGCAAAAGAAAAGATAACTTGTGATGGGGTAGCAGAGTTAAGTGAAAGTTTATTAAGGATGGAGGAAACCTGGGTATATTTGGAAACAACTCCTGGAAAAGGTGGACAGTGATGGGTTCAAGGCTTGGCAAAAAGAAGGGTCACCTCCTGTCAGAGACTGGAGTGAAGAATAAGAGAATGCGAGTTGACAGAGAGGTATTTTGAAGTATAGAAGAAAAGTAGGAACTTGCAGTGGATAGCTTCTCTATTCTCAGGAAAGCTGGAGGTAAGATAAGAGGGAGGAGGATGCTGGTACAAGAGAAGAAGGGACAGTTTGGAACAACCACTGTGGGGAATGCAGTAGAAAAACAAATCAGGAAAGAATAAAAGGATTGCTGTGCAGCAGTAAGGGGCCATTTGAGATTGTATAACATACATTTGTGTTTCTCAGCGGTGAGGTGGTATAATACATAGAAAGTCAGAAAGAACTAGCTTCTGTTCCGTCCTCTGACTGGAGAGCTACTGAATCTCTCAGTGACAATCCAGGCAAGTTTCTAAGACTATGCATTGCAGAACAGTTGTTGATCTGCATTGGTAGAGAGAATTTACTGGCTGCAAGTTCCCTATGTTAATAAGATCATAGGCCTATACTAAAAAAAAAAAAGAATTGTGTAATAGATCTGGTTTACACAGCCTTGTGACTTCTTCCAGCAACCTTTAGTAATACATAATTAGGGGTGAAGAAGATGGATAGTTGGGGATGTCCCAGAGTTACAGTTTAGGTATTTGATTCATTCACAATTTTTGTGCAAACAATACCCTTCTTTTGTGCCTATGGTACATGATCATTTTGGACGCTTTTATATTTATTGGCTACCTCTTTTGAAAAGCTTGTTTATTGTAAGAAGATGCCTTTGGTAACTGTAGACTAATATAGACAGAAATAATTATCAGAAAACATCTGGGTTTTTTAACTCTTTTTTTTTAAGCTTTTACACAGAAATATTTACTTCAGAATGTATAGTTACAAATATATAAACTTACTCCCAAAACATGGGAGACTTCCTTCTCTTCCACTTCACCATCTCAGTCTCTGAGAGAAGAAGAGGATTAGGTTCATAGCTTTGCTCAGTTCCCATAGAGTTCAGTCTCCTTTCCAAACTTAAAACCCCACTGGGTCTCCAGACCCAGCCACGTGGGCTTCTCAAGGATTCTGTGCTGTTTTGGCTAGCTGCATCATCCCATCTGCAGTCATGACTCCAAGATTACCATTGTTTGAACTCCTCAGTCCCATTAGGATCACCTCCAAATAAATCAAAAACTTGAAACTGAGAAGGAAAGACAACATAGAACAGAAACAAAACACCTCCAGGCCCATTTCTCAGAGCCATGATAAAGGAGGGAAAGCAGGAGAAGTAAAGTCCTTCTTTTCTCACTGGTTCATTTCCTTTGGTTTAGTTTCCCATTGGTTCAGACCTGTGGACAAAGCAAATAAGAGATGGTAGAAAGAAGGCAAATGGTATAGTCTGTTCAGTTTTAAAGACACAGGCAGCTAATCAAAGAAGACTACCCTGACCCATGTGGTAGGGGACAGACACATTGCTCTCCATTTCAGTCAAACTAGACATTAACAAAAGGCCCCTCAAGGGCATCTCCATAGGAGAACTAGGCATGTCCAGAGAAGCCTGGGATACACATTTCTCCATTTGGAATTTGCCTTCCCATCAAATTGGAAGGGATATATATTTTTTTCTTAACATAGTAATCATCCCAAATTCAGAACAGATCTCTATGGTTTCTGAGGAGGCATAAACAATATGCTTTCACTTATTATATGCAATCCCATGTGTAGAGATGAAAATCAAAATTATCTCCAAATACAAAGTTCTGTAGATTCATGGAAATAGGAACATTTATTTCACAAAGTTCCCCAAATTAGTCAACAAAAGGAGAAGCATTTTACAAAGTTTACCAAATATCCCTACTTGCTTAGCCTTGTTAGCCTTATAGGACCTTTCTCAACCCATGAATTAAGTCCTTTTTTCTCCCCAACTTAATTATTTCAAAAAAAATTCAGTTTTTAAAATTTTGTGTTTCAGATTCTCACCTCTCCAGCCCCTCCCTTCCCCATTGAGAAGGCAAGCAGTGTGATACCCATTATACATGTGAAATCATGCAAAATGTATTTCTGTATTAGCCATGGTGCCAAAAAAAAGGAAGAAACAGTAAAGTGAAAAACAGTATGTTTCAATCTGCACTAAGAGTTCATCAGTTCTCTCTCTGGAGGTGGATAGCATTTTTCATGATGAGTTATGGATCATTGTATTGACAGAGTTACTAAGTCTCAGAGTTACTCTTTTATAGTTGATGATGGTTACAATATTGCTGTTATTGTGTACAATGTTCTCCTGGTTCTGCTCACTTCAATTTATTTGCATTAGTTCATGTAAGTCTTCCCAGGTTTTTCTGACACCATTTTGCTCATCATTTCTTACGACACAATAGTATTCCATTACAGTCATACATCACAGTGTGTTAAACCAAGGGTGGGGAACCTGTGGCCTTGAGGCCACATATAGCCTCAAATGTGGCCCTTTGACTGAATCCAAACTTCACAGAACAATTCCCCTTAATGAAAGGATTTATTCAAACCATTCCCCAGTTGATGAGCATCTCCTCAATTTCCAATCCGTTGCCAACACAAAAAGAGCTGCAATAAATATTTTTGTACATACAGATCCTTTTCCTTTTTTCTTATTTGATCTCTTTGGGATACAGACCTAGTAGTATTGCTGGGTCACAAGGTATGCATAGGAAGGTAGAGCCAAGATGGCGGAGTAAGGGCAAAGACTCACCTGAGCTCTTCCCCAAACCCTTCCAAATACCTTAAAAAATGACTCTAAACAAATTCTAGAGCAGCAAAACTCACAAAAACTTCCAGCCTAAGACAACTTAAAAGGTCAGCAGGAAAGGTCTGTCTCACATGGGTGAGAGTAGAGCACAATCCAGTGCAGGCCTTGGGAGTGATTGAATCAGCATCGGCAGGGGCTGCTTCCCGAGCTGTCAGGCCGCAGACGGTAAGGGGTCAAACAACTGATCAGAAGGAGATTACAGGGATCTTTTTGCTAGCACTGAGGCAGAACTTTGTTGCTTTGCCCATACTCAGATCCATGTCACAGTCCTGGGTGGCAATCCCAGGGTGAGGAGGAGCACTAGCATAGCAAAGCTTGCAGCCACAGTGGAGGAGAACCCTCCTCACAGTTACAGGGCAGAAAAGAGTACTTGTGGTCACTCACAGACCAGAGCACAGGCCAGGAGAGGAGTAAACACCTCTCCTTAGATCATACCACCTTGGAAGAGCTGAAAACTTATAGGTTCCTAGAAGTATCTCTGAAAACAGTTGCACAAAACCCCTCAAGCTCGGGACAGTGCACCCTCCACCTTGGAAGCAGAGCCCTACTTTAACAAAGAGTTAAAAATCAAGTAATAGGTTAGAAGGATGAGCAAACAATGGAAAAAACTTGACTATTGAAAGTTACTATGGTGGCAAGGAAGATCAAAACATACACTTAGAAGAAGACAACAAAGTCAAAGCTCCTACATCCAAAGTCTCCCAGAAAAATATGAATTGGTCTCAGGCCATGGAAGAGCTCAAAAAGGATTTTGAAAATCAAGTAAGAGAGGTAGAGGAAAAATTGAGAAGAGAAATGAGAGTGAT